TTTTACTATACTGAGTTTATTTTAGTGAAAAGTCTGTAAGCATAATGAAGGTAACACACACTGCACAAAAGGAAGGCATTAATTGCTAGACTGTGTACTTAACACATTCCTGTGGATAGGGCAAAAAGCTGCACAGAGTAAGACATTGCCATACATCTAGATAGTAAGATAGAAATTTGTTACTTTACCTGTTAACAATTAGATAATAGCAGAATGTGGTTCAAAGCAAATTGAGAAAACAGGTTTGACTGCTGACTTCTAACGCTTCCCTGCTAAATAACATGGTATTTGAGTGGGTGAAGGGTTGGAGGAACAGATGGGGCAGCAGAAAAGTAAAAAATATATCAATGTGCATTTGAAAGATTGCTATTAAAATACCTACCTAGCTCACATGTTCTTTCCCTGCAAGTTGGCTTGTCTGTCACACTTTAAATTATTAAATGAAGGGGTGGGGGGGAAGCTTGGACTAACTACACCTCCTAGAAAGTCTGTTAGTCAAACTGGAAAAAGAAAACAATGTATCACTTGTTCCTCTTTTGTGTATTTATTTCCTGAGCTTATTTATAGTGCAACCAACAAACAGTAAAGAACCAGGACAGATGTCTGCTTAGTTGTAGTTTTCCCCCCAAAAAAAGTAAATTCAGGAATTCAGCTGTGTGAGGAGGAGACAAAACTTACTAAATCTGGCAAATTGTTGGGTTTTTTTTCAATGGTGGAGATTTAAAAGAAATGTCAGACACTGTTTTGACATATCCAAAGCTAGCTTGAGTTTTTGCTTTGCTAAGGTATATTTAGTTTTAAATTGACCTGCGTTTTAAAAATAAAATTAAAGAACCCTCCCAAAAAAAGAGAGATTTATTAGCCCTGAAATAAGTGTTATGATTTTTTTCAGTTATTTTGTTTCACTGATAAAAATGTTATTTTTATAGTTCACTTGGAGTCAAACTCTTGATTTGGGAATGGAGAAGGAAGAGGTTGGTTCAGCCACTGACCCAAAACAGTCCATTAAATGTTTTCACAGCTGTATTAAGAAACCAGACTGCCTTTACTATTCATCTTACATTCCCTACAGTATGTGGGTGCACGCGCACATGTACATGGCCTTACTACTTCAGAACTTAAACTATTTAAAGGTAGTCTTTGAAAAAAACAAAACCTAGCCTTTTGCTTCCTTCCCATTAGTACTTGCGCCATCCCAGTTCTTAGCTCTACTGTTTGAAAAGGCCAGTTTTCTAGATGCTACCTGGCCAGAAATAGAGTTTTGGAGTATTAAGGTGCATGGTTGACAGCTGAGAGGTCACAAGTTTGAGGCCATAGCAGAATTGCTCACAGTGCAACACTGTCAAATTCCAACAAATCTGTGAGTTCTACTAAATATCTTGTCACAAGGACACAAAAAAAGAAAGGAACGGTAGTTATCTTTTTCCTCATCTACTGGCAAGTTATTTTCAGGTTGCATTTAATGGTATTCTACTATAAAAAAATTCATCCATCCCAGTAAAGCACTAGATGGTAGCTTTACAAGTAGACCTCTGCTCTTGGAAGCTGCTTGTGTTAATGTCTTAATGAAACTATACACTAACATAGTGCTGTTTAAGACAACAAGGATTTACAATAGCTACAAGCAGTCTGTCTTTTTTTAAGGCAGCTACAAGATGACACTGCCTTTTTTAAAACCAGTTCCACGTCCCTCTCCAAGCATAAGAACCGAGGGCAGACTATGTTTCAAAGTAACTACAAATAGTAAATATAGCCTGTAATCTCGTTTCTGTGGAGATGTACTCCTGCATGTACATATTTGGTACAGTGTTCCTATTTAGGCAAGGGTGGAAGTGCTCCTTCTCATCCCATTCTAAGATAATCACAAGTAGATAACTATAAATATGAGTGCCTGGCTGAGAAATGTAGTATGTCCTGTAGGGGAAGACACGGGGTTTATCATTAACTTTCCACATAGCTGGATATGTTAAATCTTCCCGCCCCAAATAGGCACATGGGGTCCTTTCTCAACTGAATGAAACACTTGCCAAGCATCCCTGAGTTTTAAATTGTAGACTGTTTTGCAAAGTGGTGCTCAGTTTGTTGATTAAAGATGGGAATGGATGAAGATTGTAGAGACAGCCAAGAACTTGCAGTGCTAAACTGCTATTTATAGTAGGTGACTGAAGGCTTCTTTTGTTCCAACATATCCTGATTTTCTTCCTTGCTGAGTTTACTGAAGAGCTTGTGTTAAGTGTTTTTAAAGAGCTGTTGTCAGTGACTACAATCTGAAAGAATATTGTTTTTGTGAGGCTTTTGTTTCAGCAAAGAACATGTTTAAAGCTTTTGGAGCCCTCTCTTCAGGTCAACTACTTGGATGCTGTCAGCACATTTAATTGGTTGCTACAGGTCTCTTTTGCTATGGCCATTGCTTGTCTCATGCAAGTTACAGCACAGAAAGCAGAGCCCAGCTATGAAGATGAGGAGGAAGAGGAGGGTTGTTGTTGGGTTTAAACCTCTCCAAGATGCCTTTTGTTTCTCAGAACTTGAGGTCTTTCTGGGGTTGGTGTAACTTGCCTACAAGGTTCAGGCATGACCAGACACTGCAGTGTTTGGCAGCTCTGCCTTTGGGCTATTCCACAGCTAGAACTGACTGCTGAAGTACAAAAGACCTTAGCTGTTTAATACATTCCACTCCTGTGCTGAGCTCAGCTCTAAGCTTCTGTCAGCAAAGCAGCTTTTAAATAAGACTGCATATGCTACCCTGCACAGCCTTTGTCCTGGAGGCCAGAGTAGAGGCGTAACCATTAAAAGACCTACATGGGTTAAAATCTCTCATCTATTTATTTATGTTGCTACTTGTATAGGGAGGCAAGCCTCCTCCATTTACATCATTTTTTTGAAAAGCAGTGGAGTTAAAACTGGCTGCGCAGCACAGCTATTGGACATTACTCTCTTCCTCAGCCAGGATATGTTGCAGAATTCTTTATTCCTAGTTTTCTAATGCATACATGGTACCAGCAGAGAATAACTTAGAAATCTTTCAGCTGAAAGTATAGGTTGATCATATGGCCTGCATCTCTAGGTTTCAACTTCAAAATGATGGACACAGAATTTTGTTTGAAGTATTCAGGTTTATTTTACTATAAATCCTAAATTGCATACTACAAACACTTCTGTTAGAATAAGCGGACCTTTCCATACATAATTATGTATACCCCCGCTCCAGTTCAGTGCACAGGACAGACAGTGAATACGTTAAGAGTGGCAAAATGAGAAAAAGGAAATCTTTTCTTGTAAAAGTCCCCATTCTGAAAGGCAGGAATGTTTGTGTTTTGTTTTTTTAAACTGGTTTAGAACAGCTGTTTTTTAAAGGAATATGATAGGTGATCAGTCACCACTTGTAGAGGGAGAAGGGCACTCAAGTGTATATATACATTCTTTCAGGGACTTCTACAGAAGCAGAAGGAGCTGGAGACTCGTCTGATTCCAGCCATAACTCAAGAAGAAAGCTTTCTGTCGCCATTTTAAAAAGGTACAAGGAAGCACATAAAGACACTTTCATTTTTAAGAAGTGAGACACAGCACTTTACACTTCTTAAATTATGAACTGCAGCTAGATCCTTTGTAGATAAGGTCTAGCACCTTACATGAAGTCTGACAGGGTATGGGAGCTTTTTGTTCAGTTTTCACATACTTGAATCTAACGTAAATAATTTCTTTTTGTTTAGAGTCGTCTTCATGCTACGGCTGAAGTTATATGATCATTTAGTAGAAAAAGCAGTACTGTACATGACCTTTTTGTAGGCATTTTAAATTTAACTAGGTATTGTTGGCATACAGAAATAAAAATATTTAAAACATTTTTGAATGGTGTAAGTATAATTCTTTACTTCACTCTCAGTGCTGCTTTACAGCTTGTTTTATTGAGTAATCCAGCTCCAGAAACCAAAACGTAGTTCTGAAGCTGCAAGGCAGTGCTTACTTTTTCAAATAAGCCCTTTCAAAAGCAACTTAGCACAGCTGAGTTAGGTCCCATTCTTAGCAGAGTCCTTGCTTAGTTCCCTTTTGTTTTGTTTTTGGATTTGCAGCTACCCAGCTGAATCAGCCAAATAGGACTGCAAATTGATTTTAGATTTTGCCTTTAAATCTGCTGAATTTCACTTTCAATAATCTGTTCAAGGGAAACAGCTTTTCTGTCCACCCCGGGGGGGGACATATCCCTAAATTCATGCTAGTGTAGTGCCCATCATTTTTTTCAGAATTCCAGCACGGGGGCAGTATTTTGTACATACCTCAACAATGAGGTTTACCTTGCGAGAGACTGTGTTCTTGTAGGTGGGTTGAATTCTAAAATGAATTAATGTATGCTTAAAAAAAATCATCTAATTATACAGGTGGGAATTGCATGCACTCACACATGAATGCAATCTTTGGTAGACCTGTTGAGAGTATCAAACTCACTGTCTACTTTTTCTTGGCAAGAAGACTAGTACATTAATAGTTGCCCCACCTAGTGGCTTATTTCCATCCTAATTTAATTAAAACAGTTTTATACTCTTAATATTTATTGCAAAAAATGTTTTATAGTAAAAGGAGTCCTTTTTTTCAGTTAAATTTAAAAAATGGGCACCTAAAAAGAAGAAAACAACTTGCTTGAATGTTACGTTAAATTTATTTTTCTCTTTTATCTGCTGCTGTTGGCATGTGCCTCATTAGTTTTTGCCATTTTTTTCAAATCACATTTTGTTTTTCAAACAGTTTGTCCCAGTTGCTGTACAGCCACCCCCCAATAGGCAACATTATACTGTATCAGAGAAATGACTACGCAGTCTGAAAGCCTTAAATAAATGCTAGTGAAAGATACACAGTTTAAATTCTTGATGCAGCTGTGATAAGCCAGGATTCTAAATATTAAGTTAGATGCACACACAATTAGTGTTACTGAAATATATTTTGCAGCATCAACTTCCCAGTTTGAAAACAGTATAACACAAAAAAGCAACTTTCTATCAAATCCCTTGTGCATGAAGAGTTTATTTCTCAAAATGGAACTGCACCATTGGTTACTCTAATTGAGGTATTTTGCCAAAAATCCAGTATATTGTCATTAAAATAACTAAACTGCCTTATAGCTATGTAAAAACATTTGTACAAAATTTGTGTCAGATGTCAAATAAATACATAACAGTTTTGATCTTCATGAAAAGAAGAGTGGCTTGAAGAGTGTATTACAGTTTACTTAAAAAAAATGAAGCCTTGCTGTTTCACATACTTTAGGCAAACATTCAGTTTTACATTAAAACAGACTTCAAACTGAAGTCCAAGTACAGGTCAATACAAATGTAAAAAAACTTAAAAGTGCCAACAAACAAGATAATTCAAGTACAATAAATGTTAAAAATATATATATATTTATTTCAAATTTCAGATGCTTTAATTGGTACAGGCCATCATTTAAATAAGACGGGAAAACATTTGAGATAGAGTACAAGAACATTTTGTTCAGAGAATAAAATAGAAATTGTTAATTCACTTTTTTTTTTTTTTTTTTAAGAAACAGAAAAGAGTCCACAACAACCTATAAAAAAGTTTTAGTTGTGTTTATTTCTATTTTGAATATGGCCTGGAAGAATCACAATTTACATCCCAATTGCTAGGAGATGAAGTCTTGTCTGTATCCATGCTCTGACTGTAAGCAGAAAGAAAATAATTCCCACCTTCTTGGTTTTGACTTGTGGAAATTGGGTATGTCGTTCCCAGAAAAGTCTGATGAGTGAGAACATTAAAATGACTGAATTGATGGGACATGCTTAACTGTCTACTGTAAACTTGAAAATTGTTGAAAGGAACTTGTTCTACTGAACTGTTTTTTTCTCCTTCTGTCAAGCACGTTGTAGAAACTGGAGTAATTGGCTGCATGTCATCCAAATCAGTTTTAGAAGTCTTTTCCACCAAACCAGTTTGTCCTTCAGAAGGTAGCTGCTCATCAGTTAGAGAGGGTTTTTTTGTATCTGTTCCATGTGGGCACCTGACCTCTGCATGCAGAGCTTCTGAATGTGAATCATACTTAGAGGCATCGCTGCAGATTTCTATTTGTGATGTTTCATCCCCTGAATCCAAAGACATGTCCTCCTCATCCTTTTCATCACTCTCTACAAGAGCTACATTGAAAAAAAAAAAAAAAGTCCTATTCTATTGAAACATATTTTCTTAAAAGAAGCTATACACTACTCACAGAGTGTTACGTTTCAGGTCTGTCAGTCCAATATCACTTAAGGCTTGGTCTTCTGTCACTCTTGTCACTCAACACACATACTTAACCCTTTGCATGAGTGTCCAGATACGCCGATGCTAAAAGCTTCTGCACATTGCGTTCATGCTTAGCATTGGGAAATCCCAACTCCCAGCTCCAAAGGGGTTAATGTCAAAACAGCATCTAAAGTTATACAGTAGGTCAGTATTTGATAAGACAGTTACAGAGTACAGTTACTGACACCCAAGTTTATTTGGCTATTGTTTCCCAGTCTGTCATTAAGCTCATTCTTCCTTCAGAATAGCAGAGTATGTCATTTTGGCTTGTATAATATTCTTTTTTATCATGGATCTGTATTAGCCTATAATTCTATACTCACAATACCTTATAGCACTCCATCCCAGCCGCTTTTTACTAGTGCTCAAGAAAGAAACAGCTTGAGAGTTGGGGTTTCCTCATAATCTACAGTGTTTATTTACTAAGAATAGAATCACACTCTACTCAAGGATCTCACCCTATGTTTTTAATGAGCTCTTAGAGAGTGTAAAATGTGCTGAAAATTACCTGATTGTCTTTCGTGAACACCAGGTGGTGGAGGAAGGCTGTTTTCTTCAGTAATTGAATTGTGGTACCCAACAAGACTTCTAAAGTTTTGCATGAAGTCATCAACTGTAGCAACTACTATTCCGTTATCAGCATAACTGGAAAATGTTTTGACATTCTTTTCTAAATCACAAAAGCAGAAAGGAGGAACATGTAACGCTGATCTCCAGTGGGGTGGGGAGGTAGGAAGCAGAAAGAAAGTCACAATTTCTACTTTTACCTGTTAAGAAGACGACATGTCTTTGCTGAATATTCTGAGCCTGAAGCCTGATGAGACAGTCTAGTTCTGGAGCATTTCGAGTTTGGGAGTCACAATTATGATAGGACAGAATCTCAACCAGGTGTTTCTTTTGATAAATATTCAGAAATCTCAGCAGTTCCAGGGCATTAGTATTCATTCTGAAAAAAATGAATCCATTCCATTTTAAAAGAGGATCTGATATTTGCATTTAGGTCAAGAAACAATTTACAAGTTCCATATCATGTAGGATATTTCATTAGGTTACTTGGTTTGTGAACACTATTTTAAGTTACATCACTTAGCACTCAGAGGAGGGCTACTTACCTCCCAAGCTCCTTAAGTTTTTTTTGTATTTTACAGTGAACTTTCCACTGCCATTTCCCATCTGGGGTATTGAGATCTTCAAGGAATTTTAGGAAATGTTCAAGTTTATCTGTTTTGGAAACAATCAAAAACATTTTCTTGTAAACAGTTTTAAAGACATTTTAAATTGCTATAAAATACTTACTATTTTTCTTCAATTACAGGCATCTCTAAACATTAGTTCTTAAAAGTACTAAGGTCATGCTTAATCTCATTTTTGTATCCTAACAGGTTAGTCAAACATTACACACCAAACTGAGCCTATCCTGAGGTTTGTCTCCCTACTAACAGCAGAATTTGGTTGTAGGTGATCTATATTATTAAAAAAGATCTATTAAAAACTAACATCAAAACTTTGAGGGGAGTAAGAATTATGCCATCTTAAAAAGTTATGGTTAAAAAATTTTATAAGACTGACTGATGTCTTCTTAGGATCAGTCGTCATATAAAGAACCTTAATTTTTTAGGTAGCTGAGCAATCTAACTGTTTGGAAAAAAAAAGATTGGACCAAATACTTTAATTGGTAACTTATTTATAAATTGGTGGATCATTATCTCTGGAAAAGGGCTTAAGAGGTGGCTGACAGACTGAAGTGACTGTTTCCAAACAAGTGTGCTGTGTAACTGCCATCAGCTTGCAGTGCCATTCTCCTGCTAGGACATTATTCTCATGTCTTGTCAATATGACACCTTTCCCAGATAGAATATTATGTGAAAGTTATTTAAGAAACAAAGATTAGGCTTCATATTTCTTTAAAATTCATGACTTCCTTTAAAACTTACCAACGGTGAGAGACTCTGGATTAAGAACAGATTCATCTGATACAATAAAACCACCAGACACAAACAATTCATTGTAAGTATGGTTTTTCACATCATCCAAGCTATCAACCCCAGCAAAACTGACACATGACAGCCTCTTCAAAGTTACCAAACCAGGAATCTGTTTAAAAAAAGAAACAGTCAGAATTAGAGATGCACCAGTAAGGGAAAAGTGGACGACTGTTTTACATGACAGTACAAATTCAGGATTAGCAAGTTTACTTTCCCAATTCCTAGCATAACACCAGTCTACAGTTTAAGACGGACTTTTTTTTTTTTTGGTAAGCAAGTCACTTAACTCTTCCATGGAAGTGGGTTTTGCTCACTTACAGTAAAAAGAGACATAATGGAGGTAGGGAAATTGGAAATAACGGGTTAATTTTCTGCTAAACGCTCATTACTGTCCGATAAAAACCTTTACAGTAATCACCATAGTTGAAGTGCCAACAGCTCACTTCATCCAGGCCCAGTGCACAACAGAAGAAAACAAAGGACAGCATAGCATCAAGATATACAAGTATAAAGGGACACGCCTTGACAAAGCTGCTGAGAAAGCATGTGCTGGTTCCCACCATGTCCGAGTATAAATAAGACTAGTAAATCCTCTCGCATCTATATTTCCAGCCAAAAGAAGCCAAATGAAAATGGAATTAAAGTTGATAGGGTCCCCAAGGAGCCTAAACAGAGTTCTATAGCAATACCATGAAATAACTACATAATTAAGACATTACAGTGTTCCTGGTTGCAGATTAGAAGAAAGTAATTTTAAAGAAGGCAAAGCTGCATTTTTTCCTCTTCCTTCCGACAACCCACTGCATCAGTATAGCAGTTTAGGGAGGCTTAGCTATACTGAATTTGTATTTCTATTGTAATCTGTATTACTTTTACCCTAATTTTGAATTTCCTGGATTTATAAATCTGTCTGCTTGGAAAATTAAAATATTCCTATTAACATATTTTAATCAGAAATCTCACAACCTTGTCTGTTTTAATAGTTTATATAAGGCAACTTTATAAATGAAAAATATCTTGTAGAAACAAAAGTAAAAACCCAGGAGATACATTTTATTATGGGAAGCTTTTAATTTAATATAAAGCATCACTCTTAACTTTAAATGAAAGTTTATGGCCTGATACATAGGAACACACTAGCTACTTCATGCCACTCTGGCACAGTACTAGCAGTAAAACTGTACTTGCCACTATATTCCTCCAACTGCTACCCCAGAATTCTCCTTGCCTCCTGCATCTCTTCACACATACTTTCTACCCTTACATACCTCCAGGTACCCTTTTAACCACACTGTTGGACTAGATGCATTCAACAGACTAACATTTAAATAAAATATTTTGGATTAATTTCAAGCATTGGCCATTTTCCATGAAAGAAGGGTCCTCTGTTAAGAGAAATTTATGCAAAAGTCTAAGGTACTTCTGCAAAATGGCTGTCCTTTTGCAAAATGTTGTCCTTTCTTTGCAACAGGGCTAAGACTAGAGCTGTCTTCAGCTGACACATCCTTTGACAAAGTGACTGTTAATCTCACTAAAAATAATGAGTTAAGTTCATCTATTTTTTTGTATGTCTGTCTGTGACCTAATGGGAGGGAGAAGCCCTCTCAAACTGCCCATGTGACTGCAGTAAAAAGAACAGGAGATTACAGCCATTTTGAAAACGCAGGTCTACATGGAATTCTCTCTTGAAGAACAACTGTCAGCAAGAAGAAAAAACCTTTTCAGTTTCGAAGAACAACAGGAAATTATCACCATTACTCCCTTAAACCCTTCTAACATACAATTCTGAACATTTCAGTGAATTGGAGGGAAATTTGACATAGCTATTCATTAAGAACAGAAGCCTATGAAATTAAGAAATCTAACTTGGTGATACTTATTAACTTAGTTAATAAAAAAATGTAAGTACAAGTTAAAAGTTATTCCTAAATTCATAAAATTCATTTGGTACTTAAAGTAGTCAATCCCTTTTGGGCCAACCACAGGATTCAACCTTGAATAAGAGACTGGAGGTGGCAGGGGGGAGGGGGAAAAACCGTAGAACTGTGTAGTTATTGCATGTAGTGCAAGTAAGAGTTAAAAGACTGGATAAATCAAGACATGCGTAACCCACTTTTACAAAGGGTGCTAGTGAGATGCATCACTGAAATATGACAGTAGACGAGCTCAAATTGAATAAACCCACTATGTTTATCTGTTACAGTCAATGGTACCAAGTTTTTACTTTTTGTAATATACCTTATGAATGAGGCTGGCAATATCTTCATTTTGAATAATTATCAGAAGTTTATCTAAATCAGCTCTTCTTTTCAAGAACAATTCTGGATGGCTCTCTGTATTACCTAATTTTGTAAGGTATTCCTACCCCACAGAAATAAAAAATGAAAAAACAAAAGTTAAAATCAACACAATCCCACTGTAATACTTTTTAAGAATACAAGAAACAGGAATCCTCTGGAATAGCCAGCCTCACTTTCCAGCTGGGAATAAGTTCATATTCAATCTTCACATAAGCCAGTATGCCCCAAGACAACTCAATGGGAACATGGCACAGGAAGGCCTACTTTCACCTGTCACTGAACCTTTAGTTTCAAAGCACAACAAATACATCTACATCACATTTAACATTCATTTCCAGACAGACTTATTCATTCTGCTATGAATGACCCTATTTATACTCATAAAATGTAGAAAAAAATTTACAAGATAAACCCCGTCAACCTTAAGTTACCTTTATTTCTTTACAGAGTGTACTTTCCTCTTCTTCATGAATGTAAAATTTCACAGTGTTTTTCTGAACATCCTTTATTATTTTGACCAAGCTGCTGAACACTTCAGGTTTTAATTGGCTTATAAAGTCAGAGAGTGCTGGCTGGCCTGAAATGTTTAAATTGTCTGGAGACTTTTGAGTCTTTGCCGGTGGTTCCAGTGGATCAACATTGGAAGTGTTGTGATCAGACGTTGAAATATCCTCTACTTTGGCATTCACGCGAACCTTTTCTTTTGCTAAGACCAAGCTTGATAATGAATGCTGCTCATTAGAATTGGGGTCTTCCACCATACTGTTACATTGTCTCTCTGGTAACAGTGCAGTGGCAAAGTCACTTGAAACAGCTGGAGCTTGTTCTGTTGGAGGATTTGATGCAGTATCAGTGGCCCCATCACCTCCTGGTTCAGGACTAGAATTAACTGGCGGAGTATGCTGACCAAATGAAGACGACAAAGCAACAACATTGTTCAGCTTTTCACTCAGTTTTTCTATATATTCCTGGACAGGGATTTCTGAAGCTGGTAAACATATATATTCAGAAAGTCTCATTAACCGTTCATGGGCTGAAAAGACTGGCGTAGATATTCCACTAACATATGCAATATTTTTTTGTTGCAAAATTTCCTGAATCTTTCTTGCAAATAGACTGTATTCTTCTAATAATGTTGTCTCTATAATTCCACTTATGGAGTGCTTAGGTGGAAAAGGATGCTCTGTTAGCGCACATTTATCTTCAAGTTTCTCCACTTGCCTTGTATACAGTCCATCTTCTGCTGTCCCTTTTTGCGTGTCTGAAAATGGAGAGTATGGAAACTGGTAATCAGAACTTCTCTGTCTATTTATTACCCGGGGGTCATTAGGAAAGGCATCCTTTGGTGGTAAATACACCAGTTGTTCTTCTGGTGATTTCAGACCTATACAGGAAGAGTTAATCATTATAAGCTAATCTCTGAAAAGTCAACAAGAATACACAACTGAAGTCTACAACAAGTTTTAAAACAGCATCAACTTCTGCCTAACACTCAGCCATGCACTTAATGTGTATTGCTAGCAGAGAAACACGAACAGCTTATACCGTCTTAAAAATTGAATGGAAAGACAATAACATTTTAGGCTTTCTTAACTCTCATTAAAGGTTAAAACCAGAAAAAGCTTTGCTGGATATAAAGATATCTGATGGAGCACTGCACAATACCCTAACCCTCAAATGATTTATGCAGAAGAAAATAGATGAGCAACCAGTAAAATCATTCAGACATATTCTTCCTCTCTAGTTTCTAAATGGAATTCTTCAAACTTTTAGAAAGTGCATTTAGTTCCACTGTACAGTTCAAAAAAGGTGCAGGGTAACCTGCAAGATGTGTTGAGGCGATCCATTGCTCAAAAAAATTTTGGAAAACACTGCAGGAGGGGTTTTAAGGTCTGCACATGCAAATGATCTCTTACAGTTTTGTAAATACATAAAAATTATGAAAGTCTGCACATGAGGGAGTCAGTTGCTAGCATTACCCTACCAATCTGGCTGTTCAAGACATTTCTAAATTAACAGCAGTAGTAAACAGAAGATCTGTTTATCCATGGAAAATGCAAAGTGCAAAAGCAACACAATTTTTAGACTTTTAATTTAATCACCATTCATATACAATACTGTGTCTGTCAAATCTACTATAGGTTTTGTTATGTAAACACGCTACTGTATGAACAACTTCACATGAACTGGACAAGACTGGAAGATGAAAGGCTGTAAACACTCCTTTTAGTACCAAGTAGAACCCATTCAAACAAAAGCCAAACAGCACACCAAAATAAGATTTACAATTTAAAAAATATATATAAAGTGCCAATCTGTTTGACATCTATGCAAGATATGCGAGACAATGGATTTGCACGGGTGTCACTGAGGGTCTAAAACGGGTGGGCAATTATTTTGGGTGGAGGGCTGCTTAACAAGTTTTGTTGAGGGCTGCATGCGTAGCTCCACCCCTTGAGAGTTGCCCCGCCTCAGGTCACCATCTTAGGGCCAGAAGTCCCACCCCTAACTCCTGACCTTCACCACCAGAAGTCCCTCCCCTTGCCCCCCAGAAGTACTCGGGGGGGGGGGGGGGGGGGGAGAAGAGAGGTTGCCATCTGAGAACCAGGGGGAAAAAACCAAATCATGCACTAAAAGTTAAACACCTACTATAACAGGGGTGGGCAAAATGTGGCCATTCTATCCGGCCTGCGGGGCACCTTAAAAATTTAGAAAATTAATATATATCTGACCCTGAATGCCTGTTATGCAGCCCTTGACGGCTTGCCAAAACTCAGTAACCAACCCTCCGCCTGAAAAAACTGCCCGCCCCTGTACTATAACACACTTTAATTTTATGACAAAAATATTTTTGTCATTTGTGTTACTGTATATAGAGATGATTGCATAATAAGTCAAAAAGAATTCTTAGTCTTGTATATTGTGGGGGTAGGTGTGCGCATGTATGTGTGTGGGGCATTCAGTAGGGTATGGCATTTGTGAGGAGTAGGGTGTGGCATTTGTGGGGTGTGAGGGAGGGTGGGGGGAAGTGGGGACCCCCCTGCACTCTCCATTAAAGAGCAGTAGCAGGCAGGGGCACTCAGGGTGCTCATGCCTGGTGGGATGCAGCTCTGACCACTGCACACAGCAGTAAGGGGCACAGCCTCCACTGGGCTGCCTCTATCGCCAGCATTCCCTGCAGAAGGGGGAAGCCCCAGGCACTGGAGCCAGCTGCCTTCCTCACCCCCCAGGGTTAGGTAATTGGGGCATTCTCCTGTGCCATGCAGCCCCAGCAGGGAAAGCAGCTGGCTCCAGCACGCAGGGATTCCCTCCCATGCCATGCAAATGAAGTAAGTGCTGGTGATGGAGAAGGCCAGATGGAGGCTGCGCCCTGTTGCACACCAGCACCTGTGCTGGGCAAGAGCATCATTGCCTGCTGGTGCTGTGTGCCATGGAGGAAGTGTGGGGGAGTCCCCACACTCCTTCACACCCACACGCTGCCCACCTGAGCTCTGGGCTGTTGCTGCCCACCCTGGGCACAGGCTCCATGTTGCTGCAAGTCCCATGCTTCACACTCCTGCCCAGCTGCAGCCCTGTCCTTGCCACTTCCTCACCTGCTGCCTAGAGTGACCTGGAGGTAGGGGAAGCCGAGCAGGTCCCCAGGGGCTGCAGGAGCACACCTGGGAGCTGCATGCTGGTCAGGTCAGGTGCTTCCACCTACAATGGTGGGAGTGAAGCGCATTTGTTGGTGGGCACAGCAGGCTGGATGAAAGTGCTTGGCAGGCTGGATTCAGCCCATGGGCTGTATTTCGCCTGTCCCAGTCTAAAGCAAGAGGCAGAACCATTATTGGCAATTATGGAGGGAGAGAACAGATCTTGACTCAGAACCAAAAAATGAGTGTTACAGAGCTAAAAGTAGAGGCATATAAATTTCATACATTGTGGGAGCCTAGTAACTGCACGGTAGCACTGGCACAATTTTTTGGTGACAATGTGCAGTAGCCTAATACTACTACACAGTAGCATATTAGCACGGTTTTTGCCCAGTGTTAACTACTTCACATCAATCAACATGTAAACACACATTGTATGTACAAAGCTCGTTTGGTCAAAACCTCATTGCTACCCAGATATTAAAACTGTTTTCAAAAGGACTCTTGGTTTTAGAGTAAAAATACGTTTTAAAAAAGTAAACAAAGCCAAATATGAGACATGTTTATGATGCAAATTAGGAAAAAGTATAAACAAGATAAAAATAAAAGAAAACAATTGGTATTTTTAACATACTTCCTACTCTCCTCCTCGCCAAACATTTTCAAAACGGCCATATAATCTGGTTACTGGAGCAATGTACCCATAATACTGCTTACACAAAGGACTAAGGACTATGGCAAAGGTACCAGTGTAGACCGACTGATGGGACCCATAGGACCCATAGCAAAATACCCTAATCCTGCACACTAAAAGGAATCCTCTGCTGAGCAGCTATTAAATTTATGATTCCTGACATTGAAGCGGTGTGAAGAGACCATTCTAGCTAGACAGTTGGCCTTGTATCATTGTAAATATGCTGACAGAGATGGAAGAAGGGTATCTTCAGATTCTTCCAAGCATGGTCTTTCAGCTAAATCAAACACCTAGAGTTTCTTGACCACTAAAGAGAATTAAGCAGGTGACTTCTGTTGGCTCCATTTGCATTTAGTTTGAGGTTATGGACCTAGTTCTCTGTTGCTATTATTCCCCTTGAGTAATCATTTATACCAGTTAAAAAAAAGTCAGTGTGCACAACTCACAATCCTGATGTTTTAACCATTTTAATTTAGTGTAAGGCAGGGATTTTCAACCTTTTTTGGTCAGTGTACCCCCAGCAGCCGACGGAGAAGCAGGGAGTCCCACAGTGGCCGGTCAATGAGTGGGGGGAAGAGGGGGAGTCCCCTGGTATCGGATCAACAAGTGGGGGAGGGGAGGGGGCCCTCCGGCAGCTAACTGATGACTGGGGGAAGGGTCTTCCGCACAGCCAGCGGCAGCAAAACTGGAAGTGCCAGCAGCGCATGTCAGCATGGTGCCGCAAGCAGAGCAAATGCTGGCAGCCCCACCACCCATGCTGCTGCTGCGTACCCCCTGGGGCCTTCCCAAGTACCCCTGGTGCAAGGTATACGATTATGTGGAAAAGGCTTTAAAGTTCTTAGTTACTTATTTCACTCTTTTCAGAATGGTCGTCACAAAATGACACCCTAACTACTTATTCCATGAACCCAAGAAATATGGGCATTTATACACATACATTTGTCTGCTCCAATACACCAGAGATTTGGCACATTGAAGCAGATTCGATTAAATCGAGCCTGCCCCACACGCAAGCTGATATGCCCAGCACTGTACCACGTGCATTTGTATAAACAGCGAAATGCACATCAGCGCTGAGAAAATGCCAGTAGTGCGCTTTTGAACTAAGACACCTTCAATGCGTTTAGCTCAAAAGCACGCCACCACCACTTTCTCAGCGCTAACGTGCATTTCGCCATTTATACAAATGTATGTGCCGCAACACTGGGCCCTTTTAAAAGCACCCACTGCTGTGGTGCAAGCATGTGCACAAATGCCCTAGGTTAGTATTATCTCTCTCTACACCAATGATTCTCAACCAGGGTGCCAAGAAGTCCTTTTAAGGGTGATGTACAATATTAGCACCATTGGGTATGCAAGCATCTACACCTGCTTCACAAGATAAACCCAAAAATTTCTAGTAGGAATCCATAGTGTCACAAACATTCCGACTTACTGTGGACTTTCTGAATCTTTGCAATAGAAACTGTTCTATTGTTTTTCCATGATAATATATATGATAGCTAAGAGCTGGCATTTTTAAAGGGGTGCCTTCAGTATAAACTGGTTGAAAAACCACTGTTATACACTTACAAGGTACTTAAATCAACAATAGTATCTTTAAGGATTTATTACTCGTTCCATTTTCCACAATGAGAAATCTATCCCAATCAGTTAACATCCTTGAAAAAAAAAAAAAAAAAAAAAAAAAAAAAACAGTCCTTTTTCCAATAGCCCTCTATCCTGTTCAGTCTCCAGTACATATTATATAGCAAAATTTTGATATCTAAACAATGAAATTAGGTTATCCTGACAAATACGATGCACAAATTCATTGATAGCAGCCATTTTAGGATCTATTTAGTAGTATTTTTAGAGAATTATCAATGCACTTATTTAAACCCCACCCCCCATTGCATCCTTTGCCATTCATCTTCAATAGGTTATTTCAGACGAGCAAAACTTTCTAAAATTGCAAAACAACTTTGCAGACAAGAAAAAAACCCAACAGTTTAATGAAATTTTTTTATTTATATAACTGTTGGGAGATATCTATATTGATCTATGTCACTATAGGTGTAAAACTCCCAACAATTATTTACCAGTTTCTTTTACACAACAAAACCCATCATTGCTTGGAAAAAAAGCTGGTTTACCAACAGTAGCAAAAACAAATAAATACAGGGATCAAACAAAAAGGTATGCTTTGGGGTCAGAATTTGAACCTCAAAGCACAACCAAATGCTAATAAAATGAAGGTAAAAAAGCAATGTTATTTAACCATAGTCATCTCAAGGTGGCATCTTTCATATATCCACACCTTTGGGTCACAGGTCCCCATGAGAACCCAAGTACATGAGGCACAAGCAAAAGGGAAGTCAATGCATAGAGTGTGCAAACAATCAAATCCCAACACATATCCCTACAGTACCAAGGAAGGATCAAATACATTTTTTTTTGTACACAAAGAGTACCTGAAAAATAGGAAGTTAGATAATTTTTAAAAAGAGGAAAACAAAGCGTCTGTCCTTGATGGTTTAGAACAAGGTTCTGTAATTTTCTCTCACAGATGTCACTAGATATACAAGAGGAAGAGTTAAAGTGATGGTCCAGGAAATATACGAGGGGCAAGGATTTCTGTGGGTGATACCTTTGATTGGCCAACTACATGGTTGGGATGGACTTAAGCAAATTCTGAATGCCTGCATCTCAAAGCTTGTCTATCCCCATGTCTATCCTTAACCACACAGTTGGTCCAATAATAAATAATCACCAACAGGAAGAATATTTTTTAACAAGTTTATTTTCAAAGTAGTATGTGCCAATGGAAACCCTCCTAGAATGTTTAATGTCTAATAATGCAGACTGAATGGCATCAAAAGCCATCATTTTTAGAAGTATGATCTACCAGCTCCTTCTCCTTCATGTGGAAGATGTAAGACAAAAACAAACAAAAACAAACACCATAACTGGACTAAATTTTGAAAGTCAAAGACCAGCCCAAAATTCAAGAATAAAAATATTACATGATTTAGACAAACATAAAGGCAAGAGTGTTGCCAGCTAAAACCGAAATCCAGATTTATTATTGCGGAAGATGGATTATGCAGTAATGATGACATGAACAATCACCTAAAACTTGGCTACATAAGTTACTTAAATTACGCAACTGAAATCAGGGAAAATCTGCATAATACGTTTTCCCCTCTCCTGGGCATGTGCAAAAGCATCAAGTTCCAAGATGCAAAGAATTTTCTTCTTTAAAAACGTACTTCTTTTCAGTGCCATGATACAGAAGACTATAATGTTAAATTTTATCTAAAACCAAGATTCACTAACTTTCTTCACTAAAACTGAGGAAACAAGAAGAATAAACTGCTTTCTTTGGGGTCCATACTTTCCTTCCACAGCTGCCACTCCACCACAGATAAAACATACACAAACCATCAGATGCCAAATTCCATTACATAAGAGGCACAAAAGTCTGTTGTAAGTGATGCTCATTAAAAGGTCTTAAATTCCTAGAGGGAATATGGAAAGCCTCCTTAAAGCTATTATTCAGGATGATAGGGTTGATATAATCAAGTCAGTGACAAAAAAGTCTAAAGTTTTAGCTTTCCTATAATGTTGTCTTGTTTGCTTCAGGAAATTAAAAAATTCTATTCACTAAATGGCAGGTAACTGATCCAGCCCTCAGTTTCCTGATGAAAAGTCAATACCAGATGAGAATGCAAGCTTCTTTTCAGCAGTTTGGGAAGCAGTGGCATAGACAAAAAAGCCATCCTTCTCACCTGTTTGGTTATCTCCATGTTTTCCAAGCTGATCCTCTTGAACTCTTCCTGACCCTCCTGAGGGAGAGCAGCAGTTAGCATTTATAGAGTTTCTCAGGTATTTATATAGCACCTTTCAAATTATCACTCTGTTAGAGAATTAAATCAACATATAAATATAGTAAGATCTAACTAACTTAAGTTAGGCCCTAGAGAGTTTATAAACCAGTGATGCCTACTAACTGAAAACCACCACCTCTTAATCTTTTTTTTTTTTTAATTCAAGAAGAGACCCTCTCAGAATTCCAGGTTCAGATAAAAAGTTCACATGCTGTTGTAGCCAACTAGGTAATTGTTCACTGTTTTTATAGCCAACTGAAATCCTCATTCAATCTTCAACATCCAGTTTGAGCTGCCAGTTAATCATGCTTTGTCATTGCTATTTTCACAATTGTGTTTTCATCTGTCAGCACAAATAGCATCTGTTTCATTCAATAACAGAAGACACTTTTTTGTCCACCAAAATATTTTAGTCTCCATTTTTCTATTTGGCAAAGTACCAAATGAATATTGGTGCTTAAATCCTCTAGGGCTTAAACTGACGAAGGTTATATCCCAACTGTCCTTCAAAAGCTTATGAAGTTTATAGAAGTTAAAAAATCCCAAGAGACTGGGTAGTGGAATGGTTTGACAATGCCCTTTAGCAAAACCAATCCAACTCCATCTACAGGCAACTCCAGAATTCTTTGATAAGCCAGAAACAATAGATTGCACTTGCATGGTATGGCAGTTAATGCACTCTACTTAGTCTACTCAGAAAAGGCCTGAGTGCACAGCTTTTGAAGCAACTGTAACTCTTGATGTCACTTTTTCCACCCCACCTTCTGCACCCTTCAAATCATTGCTCTTAAGTTCATCTGGGACCTCATATTGGCAACTCATCAAGAGAAGAACAAGAATGTCCCTTAAAAAAAGGTTCTCTGAAAATGTTTTCGCTCTTAGGATTGAAGATGAAGAGTTTGAAGCACTTAGATTTCATAGACATTAGGGGCTGGAAGGGACCTTGAAAGATCATAGAGTCCAGCCCCTGTGCCATAGGCAGGAAGTCTGCTGGGGTCAAATGATCCCAGCAAGATATGCATCCAAACGTCTTTTGAATTAGTCCAGAGTAGGTGCTTGCACCACCTCGGCAGGGGGGGAGAGGAGAGAGGAGGAGTCCATTCCAGACCCTGGACACTCAGACTGTAAAGAAGTTTTTCCTTACATCCAGTCTAAATTGGTGTTCCAGAAGTTTGAGGGTGTTATCCCTTGGGGAGCCCTGGTGAACAACTGTTCTCCCAGATCCTGATGCACCCCCTTATATACTTATAGGCTGCCACCAAGTCCCCCCGAGCCTTCTCTTCTCCAGACTTCTGAACAGTCCCATGTCCCTCAACCTCTCCTTGTAACTCTTGCACTTCCGGTAAGATAACTTGGATTTTGTGAAAAAGGACTCTTCTTCCAACAAGATGACTTGTTCCAGTAACAGCTATGCAGTCACAACTGTATCTACCTACCTGCTTAGTCTCACAGCTAGAAGTAATGAGGTCATGGTAACAAGTGCTATTCTGAGCAAGGCATATCTTGCAAGATTCTTATTTAAGCAATCCAAAGGATTTGAAGGCCATATATATATACAAATGAAGCCAAATGTATAAATTTGTCAAACCCAATGAAGGTTAAAAACTGTTATAGATAAGCAAGCTCAAATTAATAGGTTACATGGTTATAAACAACAGACTCTGATCTCTATAGTCTTATAATTCAGCCTATATCTATAGTAATCAAATACCAGAAGACAGCTAAATAGTGTTGGTATGCATATACAGTGACCCAAAAGTAGGATCTATGAAAGATGCAGACCTTTAGATAACTATTCTTTTAACATTTTTGGGCAGCATAAACACTAGTGGTGCATCTTACCTGTAATTGGAATCAGTTTCCAGTGTATTCCAGGCTCTCCTACATTATTTGAGTTGGAATGTTGCCTGCGATAAACATGTTCAATGGGTGTGCTTGGGCATGGACTGTAGTCGTCAAAGCTACTAACGCTTCCAGTGCTTGGCTCCTATAAAACAGTAACATTCTCAGTTCAAGAATGATACATATTGTTAAATACAACAACCAAGTCCACTAACCTCTGTCATCTCAACAGGAAAATACGCAATTTCACCAACCTAGTGGACTTTTTGCTTTCAATTTGGTCAAAACAAGGTACAATTATTTTTGCCTTTCATCTAACCACTTAGCAAAGTTGCTGAAAGTACAAAAGTTGCCTTATACAGTATAACCTCACAAATCTGGCATGCTCAGGACCGAACACCTGCCGGAAATGTGAAAATTCTGTCCTTTAAAACCAGAGTGGAAGCCAGTCCTGGAGCAGGA